GATAGGATTTTTGCTCAGGCAATTTCTCTCCTAAGTATAAATTAAGCAAGGGTAGTCCATCTCCAATCTTAAAGTTTCCTAGCATCACGTACAAAAAAGCTATATCATTTATTTGACCGGGACAGATGACGATTATGTGATAAAACTTACTTGAAAACTAGAAAGTCGCTGTTTAAAACTTGCAATGTGTCCGACAAATATCACTCAATTATTCTGTATCTAGAAAATGAGTAAACACATTCAACACAAGCTAGAAAGAGTTAGCACCAAAATTTATAGTTTGTTGTAGAAATGCGCCATTAACATATGTACAAGATTATCTATTCACCTAAAATCCATTCGCCAGTTCATAGATATACGTGCATTATTAAATACGTAGGAATTGTATTTGACACGTTATCCGAGGTCAGTTTATAGATTTCAATTGAGATTCTGAAACCTAAGAAGGTCAAAGTTCAGCTTTGATAGCATTTTTGTACTTCTCTCGAAGGGAGAGATCTGATATTCTCAGAACTTGGCGCTGTGGAAATTTTGTTGACCATGCTTGGAGATTTTTAGGTCTGGTGAATGGTGCCATAACCTCGTCGATTTAATTGAATTTTTACACGTCGTTTATAGATATAGATATAGATAGATATAGATAAATTATTTTCAACAGGTGGAAGATAAGCTTACTTTTCCATGTTTTGCACACTCGAGAACTTAAATTTTCTCTGATAACTTTGGTTAAATTCTACATCAATTTAGTTAATCTATCAAGATTCACGTCTATATGTAGGAACTTCTTATTTTCCCATTCATTTACATTTTTGAATCCATTAAATTAGGTATGGAAGAAAACGATTTGTATTTCATGCACAATTCGATTTTATGGAAAACTCAGCGTAGTAGAGCGCTTTCGGCTTTCGCCATCATCAGTACTACTTCCTAGGTTCCAACACATCAAATCTAAGTCAAAACCATTCTTCATATTGAATTTTCCAAGGGGATGACTTTCAGAATTTGAAATAATATGAAATATATAAAAAAAAATCTTTCATTTTCAATGAACGCCTAAATTAAAAAAAAAAAAAAAAATGAATGAATTTGGAATTTAAAATATTGAATTTCCTATGAAACCCTGACTCTCTGGCGGCGCCTTTTTTTGAATGCTTATTTCCTTGAGAAAATTTTTAGATTGTCGGCGTCGGGTGATCCTGGGGGTCCTTCATGCAAAGATATAAAGAGAAGATCAAAAACTCAACTCAGAATTGATTTTAGCAATATAAGAGGAATAAGTACAAATATGAATTCAGTTCACCAACATCTTGAAGAACAAAGACCTGACATCCTTGTTCTCACTGAAACTAAAATCAGTTCTGCAACACCTATTGTGAACTATCTTTATCCCGGCTATGACCTACACCACCGATTTCGACATAATTTTGGGATCTGTGTGTACATTAAAAATGACCTTTCATGTCATCGAGAGGAAAAGCTAGAACCAGCGAACCTTGATATCATATGGCTAAAATTCACCTCAAAGTCATCGACCAAGTTTATCTGCTGCCTCTACCGACCGCCATCTAACACCGAGTACCAAAACTTTTTCGCGACATTATCCGAAAGCTGTGATAGTATACAGTCAAACTATCCACAGGCGGAAATTGTCTTTTTAGGCGATTTCAACGTCCACAATATACCCTGGCTGAAACAACACAACATAACAGATAACGAAGGCAGAGAAGCAGAAGCTTTTGCTATGGTTGGTCTAACGCAGCTTGTCAATGAACCTACCCGTATCTCAGAAAGGGGCGAATTTGCAGCGCTTTTAGACTTGTTCCTAACCACAAATCCTGACTCGTACACAATTCAAGTAGATGCTCCACTTGGTTCGTCCGATCATAAACTTATAATAACAAAGTGCGAAATGCTCATCCCACCAAGCCAACAACCACTTCCTCGTAAAATGTGGCACTATAAATCGGCAAAATGGAATGACCTAAAACAGTTTTACCTGGATTTTCCATGGCAAGAGGTTTGCTTTAAAACAGCTGATCCCACTATTTGCTGTAATGAAATAACACAAGTAATCTTATCTGGAATGGATGCATATATCCCACATACAACTAAACGTAGAGCTAATGCAAAACCTTGGTTCAACAGCCAGTGTCAAACGGCTGTACAGAAAAAACACAGAGCATATAACCTTTGGAAACGACAACAAACCGCTCAAAACCACACAGAATTTATAGAAGCCAGAAATAGTTGCAAAATTACTATTGACTCCGCTAAAGAAACATACAATCAAAAAATAAAAAACAGGTTGCTGAATTGTCCAAGTAGTTCTAGGTCCTTTTGGTCTCTTGCAAAAGCTGTTAGATCTAACTTCACCAAGTCATCCATACCACCACTTGCAGATAAAAATAATCACTTAGCCACAACATCAGAGGAAAAAGCCAATATGCTGGCCCAAATGTTTTCCTCCAACTCCAACCTAACAGTGCCAAACGGAAAAACTCCACCGTTCATTGAAAGGGTTTCCCATAGTATGCCAGAGGTACCCTTTTGTCACAGAGAAATACGAAAATCCCTTAAAAAGCTAGATACAAACAAAGCAATGGGTCAAAAATTGCGCCAACGAACTCACCCCAACTTTCGCAAAATTATTCAATTTGTCTTACAGGCAAGGAGTATATCCATCATCATGGAAGTCTGCCGCAGTACAACCCATTCCAAAGAAAGGAAAAAAGACAGATCCGTTAAACTATAGACCAATTGCTCTACTTCCGGTGATATCAAAATAATGGAAAGAGTTGTGAACAATCACCTAACCAAGTACTTGGAAAAGTACAAAATTATCAACGATAAGCAATACGGATTTCGAAAATATAGGTCAACTGGCGATTTACTTACATTCGTCACTCACTTATGGCAAAAAGCGATTGAGTTGCGGGGTGAAACAAGAACAATTGCCTTAGATATATCTAAAGCATTCGACAAAGTTTGGTATGAAAATTTGCTCAACAAGCTCAAAGCAATGGGATTATCGCCGAAACTTTGCACTTGGTTTGAAAGTTACCTAAAGGACAGATCCATTTATGTTGCACTGAATGGCCAGAACTCCAACTCTTACCAAATAAATGCTGGTGTGCCACAGGGAGCAATCCTTTCGCCAACTCTTTTTCTGATTTACATAAATGACCCTATAGATAAAACAGTAAATCCACTTTATTGCTTTGCAGACGATGGCAATGTAGTCTCCTCACTCATACCACCCACAGGTCTTTCCGCACGTGAATTCCATCATCTTAGACTAACTCAAATATCGCAGATAAATAACGACCTGGAGATAATAGAGGACTGGGGTAACAAAAACCTTGTACAGTACAACGCGCAGAAAACCCAAGCAGCTCTGTTTTCAAAAAAGACCAGCACCGGTGAGCCAAACATCATGCTATCTGGAAGTGCTGTCACATTACAGAGTCAGTTGAACATCTTGGGGGTTACTGCAGACACCAACATGTCTTGGCACAGTCACGTGGCAGATATTGCTAAAAGGGCGTCCCAAAAGCTGGGGGTGCTATTTTGTACAAGACATCTGTACACACCAAGCCAATTGCTGACACTCTACAAAGCCCAGATTCGACCAACTATGGAGTACTGCTCACATATATGGAGTGCAGCACCCAAACATACCTTAATGCTTTTGAACACCGTGCAAAAACGAGCTATCAAGCTGATCAATGACCCCGCACTTACTCGTAACTTGGATGGTCTCGAACATCGCAGATCTGTGGGCGATTTATCTCTCTTCTACAGGTACTATCACGGAAAATGCTCTGAAGAGTTGGCACGTATGATTCCACCGAGAGTAGCGCCTACCAGGCGAACCCGTCAAACAGACGGTAACCATGAATTTACTGTCAAACTAGAGGCACCAAGAACCTCATTATATCAGAATTAATATCTCTGGAGAACAGCATCGCTGTGGAATAAACTCCCTGCGACGGTTTTCCCTGCAGGTTACAACCTGAACCGTTTCAAGGCCAACATACACCGACATTTCCGCGCACTTGCCGCTTCTCGAGCGTGATAGGACATTTCCTTGCGAGTGCGCATATCCGTAAAAAAAAAAAAAAAAATTAAAAAAAAAAAATTGTTTGAGACCGTTTATCGTGTGCACATCTGTAATTCTCGTCGTGTCATAATGTTTTTTTATCCTCGTCGTCGCTGTTCTTTCACAATTTTAGCTTCCGTGTCGGAACCTGAAAAGTAGTACTGATGATGGCGAAAGCCGAAAGCGCTCTCTACTACGCTGAGTTTTCAATAAAATTGTATTGTGCATGAAATAAAAATTGTATCCTTCCTCACTATTCCTAATACATGCAAGCAGCCAGCTTTACCTGATTAAATTATTGTTGCTCCTGGATTTATCGAACTTTTGTTTGGTTTTATGCATTTCCGCCTAATTTGAATTTTTTTATCAGTTATTGATTTGAAATTGTAAGGTGAGAATCCAAGAATCTGATAATTCTGTCCATAAGTCAGAATAGCGTCGTAATATGCATATCTTACCCTTACTCTTCGCCGAATTGTATTATTTTGAGCAAGGGCATAATAAGTACAGGCCTTCATTCTCAGTTTCTCTTGTTACTGGAAAAACTTTTAACTGAAACACAATGCTAATCAGAAGGGTGTGAGAGTGCTCAAGTGCTGTCATAAAAGGCAGAGCTAAAATTAATTTTTTTAAAATTTTGATTACCTACCCATATTATCAGTGGAATCGCAGTTTTTTGTCTGGCTACATTACAGTTTTATAATGTATTTCAATGTCATCATTCAAAAATGAACGCAGAGGCACTTCTTGTAGAACTTACTCAAACTACTCACCAGATTTCGATACCTATACCATCAAACCAGAAATAATTCAATGTCATGGTGAAAACGACCTCATAGAGACCCACTTTTCTTCAGCTAGGGTATCGTTTGAATTGTTTGATTAATATTAAAAACACTATTTGGTCAATATACTTTTTTATTTAATAAAAATTCTAATTTATTTCAACAAGCAAATAAATATTCCAATATATGATATATTATTATACAATTTTATAAAGGTTTACAAATAAAGGCTTACAACAAAATTAAAATTTGCGAACCTAAAGGTGGGTTTAGCCAACCAATAATGCATAATGCACAATTTTAATTCATAATTTTTAAAACTTCACATTTAAATACATCCATTTATATAATGCATAGTGGATAGTGGATAATTTAGTGCATAATGCGTAATTCATAAAGTTGACCAACTTTTAACTTTTACGAATTATTATCGATTATGCATTGTGCAAAAAACGCTAGAGCGCAAGCGTATGTTTCCAAGTTTGTTTTTGTTTTGGTTTTGCTTCATAAACTCGAAATCTTGTTGTCTGTTTCCTGTTGTTTTCAATGATTTTTGATCTGGAATCAAGTTTTTCCGATTTTAGTTATCCAAAAGGGATTTTTCCTGATAATATAAAGCCTAATTTATTATTTATTTCATTATTTATTATATCATGAAAAATAACAAGTGTCAAACTCAGCTGTCTTGTGAATTTTTAGTGCACATAAATTATGCGTTGTATAAATACCACCTTTCTCTTATGCATTACGCGTTATGAATTACGCATTATCAATTATGAATTAAAATTGTGCATTATCCATTAAGAGTTGGCTAAACCCACCTTAAGTAGGTAGCTATCTAAGAATTTATCAAAGGTGCGTACAATCTTGGAACAAAGTAGCGAGCAGAATGCCGCAATGAAAATCATAACATCTTGTTTGGAACATTGATACATCATCGCGCTCCACTAATTAAACCGTTCCTATTTGTGCAGTTGCGACAAAAAATATCGACGGTCAGTGATAAAATAGGAAATTTCGTTATTTGTGACCGGATAGTACAAAGTATTAATGCGATTATTTCTAAGAGAATTGGCAATTTTGATTTTCATATCTCATTTGTTTTATTTTTGACTGATCTTTTTTTTTCGGTTCAACCTATTTGGGAGAGAAAAAACCAGAAGCTTAAACTCAGAAGTAAATCTCCTTGTCTCACTCCCCTCTCAAAACATCTTATTTGAGCTATCAAATGTTCTTATAAAGGTATATTTTGGCATTTTGTTAGATATAAATTCTTTACAGGGATTTTGTATCCCTTTCCATCCTATAGTTCTTCAGAGATTGTAGTACCGGCCAGATTTCTACGGAATTGAAAGCCTTTTTGCAGTAAACAACTGCGATACATGGATTCATTAGCTTATTCGAGTACCTACTTGTGTTCACAGTAAGTAGTCATAGGAGTTTTACCCAGGTTTAAAACCTGCGTGTTGGCAGGGTTAGTTTCCTGGTGATGCGATTAGTTATAATTCGCGTAAGTAGCTTGTATATCTATGAGAATAAACTTGTTGGTCCGTAGTTGTCCAGATTGAAGATATCACCCCTTTTTGTTGATCAAGATCACCTGATTCCACATTGCAGAGGTTTCTTTGGCTGGGAAGTGTCTGATCTTCGGTTGGTTTTATTTAGTTCGTTTATTCTTGTGTAGTAGCTTTTCGTTTCGCTAAAGCTTTTTCATCTTTCATTTACTGTTTCGACTTTAGAATTTTCATATTTCTACTATATCACTGTCTTGCCACAGTTGGTCTTGGATATTTTATTGTGATTTCTGGCGTCTTTCCAAGTTTTCCTTTTTAATTCTCTCATTCAAGTGCATAATTGGTTCCTATTGTCTTCGGCATTCCGTAATATCTATTTGTTCTTACTAGTGGGAACTTGTGTTGCTACGCTGATTTTTTGAGACGGGTCACTGCTCTGTTTGTGATATGTTGCCGTCATCGATCAGATTCATTACTGTGGTTAGGTTCGAAGGGTTTCAGTTTACTTCAGTTGTAGGTTGTAGGTTTCTCCGGCTCTTGCTGATATTGTAATTGCTTATTTGCGAGTGATCCAAGTTTTCAGTTGAGTTTATATTTCTGTATGACGTCAGGTTTACATATATTTTGGCACCGATAATTTGGTGATCGCTGTCGGTTGTGATCTTATTGAAAACACCTACATTTTCTACATCTGATTAGGTATGTTTAGAGATTAAAAAAAACTACTTTCCTGCTTTGACGCATAGAACAGCTCTCTCAAGTCCTTCTCCACACTGTTCTTTTTTTTGAAGAAGGTATTCATTATGTATATTTTGTTAGCTCCCGTGAAGTTAACCAGAAGATTACTTCTTCCTTTTCTCTGGATCAAGCCGAACCTGCCCAATAAAGATTTCAATTAGGGATGCTGTTGGCCGACTTTCGCATTGGAATCCCCGATAGCGAGCAAGCGGTGGGGTTTCGGTTTAGAAATTCTACGACGTCTTCATAGAATTATTCTGCGACTTTCTCAAAGTGTTCACTAGTGGGCGCGTAGACTTGGATGATTTTCATATTTCTGAGGTTGTTGAATTTCATCGTGATGTAAGCTAGTCGTTCCGCCATTCTGACAAAACTTATGATGTCCTCTGCTATGTCTTTATGGATTAAGATCCTTGCACCATAACTTTTCCTATTATTGAGGCTTTTGTTCTATGAAGTATAACCTGATTTTCCCTGATTATTCCATATGATCTTCTTCAGCTCGTTTTGGAGTTGCACGGGGTTGCTAAGCACACGATGCCTTGCCCCTAGTCCAGGTATAGCCTATTCTGTCTGGCTGCTGAGGACTGGACCTCTGATCCTGTAGATATCTCTCATCATTTCCTGACAATCAATGGGAACATTTGTGATTTGACAAAAGGCAAACGTTTGTTGATTGTCGACATGTGTGTACCTGAGATGTTTACCAAACATCAAACACTTGTAGGCTAGAAGTTTTCAAATTCCTTATGAGTCTCGCCGGCTCCAGATAGTGGTAGGTATTCACGATTACAGTCAAGTAACAAATGGACGATACATTCCAGTGAGTGATAGGGTAGTAAATGTTCGTAGTTTGTTTCGCATTTTTTGTCCACCGACAAAAAGAGAAAATAATTCTGAATCAGAAATCTGAATGGACGGCCGACTGACCTATCTTATCTAGGTGTTTAGGGGTATTAATTTTATTTCTTATTCATTTTATTAAGAATGAAAATATAAATTGATATGTGATCTTCAATCGTAAGTTATATCACAAGTTTAAAATTCTTTAAAATATTTTTGCAAAATATTGTTTTTCGATGTATATTTTTATGAAAATGTTGTGGAACAATGTCAAAATATGTTCTGGAAAAATATTTACCTCAACTGGTATATGTCGAGACTCATACCGAGGCGGTTCTTGATTCCTTTTGATATTTTTGATATCTATCACAACAGCGAATTTTTTTCTAACAACTCCTTGAAAACATCAAAATTGCTAGATGTAAAGTATAATGAGTCATTATACTTTACATCTAGCAATTTTGATGTTTTCAAGGAGTTGTTAATGAGGTTCTGATTGGCAGAAAAATCTTAGGTAGGTATTTGATTGGTTAGAAATCACTTCAGGTATAAAGTCCAGTTTTTTTCTTATTTCTGTTCGGTTTTCTACCGTCTCATCAGAGATGTTGCACGATCTCGTTCGTTGGTTTTCGAAATGGTGTAATGTTCGCGATATTGTACGCACCAATATAGCGGAGTGAAAACGGCCGCGAAATCTTTGAAAAAAAAAAAATTGAGCGTAGAACCAATTGAGACCTATATAGTATTATTCAGAATTTTACTGGCCATCTGAAATGCAAATTCACGACATCCTCAGTTGGGGCTGACTCATTTTATAGCAAAAAATGTATGAAAAATGACAAAATTATGAAAACTTACTTTTTGACATATAACTCGCGATATCTTCAAAAGTATTCAAACTATGGAAATTATTTTTTTTTTGTTGAAAAGAGGACACTTTAGCGGTTGTAACAGTGTATGACAAGTATTCATTGTGACCTCTTTTTTTTTAAATAAATAGTAATATTGACAATCATCTTTTCTGCATTGCTTTTTTCAGCAATCGAAAAACTTTTTTATTTTTGAAAATTTTACCATATATCCTGCGAGTGAATTAAAGTAAAAAGTATATAAAAGTTTTTTTTAGAAAAAAATGAGTCAGTTATGTGTTATACTTTTTGAGATATTTGAATTTGAAATTTCAGAAGTGACGCGGCCGGCCGGCCAATTGACTCGAAAATCAAGCGCGACTGCGTTCCGGGGCGCATGGAGGTAAGTAACACCCTGTTTAGCATTCGGCAATCCGTTCGACAACGGTTCGGTTTTTCAAATGTTACACCCGTGGTTGCATGGATGTGCGCTTTATTGGGTGTTACTTACCCTCGGTATTAGATAAGCCTATTTACTTTTACCATCTTGTAAATAATTATTTTAGGGCATTGAAATTTTAAAAGATGAGTATATAAGTGCAAAATATAATTAATATTGTTATATTAATATAAATTATACTGTGCGTTCATAAATTAGCAGATAAAAACAATTAAAGAGTGAATATTTCTCGAAAAACCTCAGACCAGGGCCGTAGCAAGAGTCAAATTTGTGATAGGGCATGATAAATTTGACATAGGGCATGCAATACTTCCCCCCCCCCTCCACCCCCTTAAATTTTTTATAGGTGAACAAAATAGGGGTAATGGTGCCGAAGGCAAATTTTTCAATAACTCAAGGTTTCCAAAGTTTATAGGTTGTCTGGTAATGACTGACTTGATGACGCATCTGGGGTGCCTTATGGAGATTTGCATTCTTTGAGGCACCCAAGATGACGTCATGAAGTAATCAGGCAACATATGTCTCTCAAACAACCTTTGTCAATGAATAACATATCTGGCAAATGAACAAAATGGCGCTGATTCACGCGCCGTCTTGAGCCTTTATTTATCGCACTTACTGGATTCCAGGCCTATTCATTATCTACTTTTAAATTTCATAAATTCCCTAGAGAAAACTTAACGCATGTTATGTTTTAAAGGTGGGGCATCATCATTTGAAAGATAGGGCATTGCCCCCAATGCCCCCCCTGGCTACGGACCTGCCTCAGACACTATTTTTAATTTAGGAGAACATCTTTTTCTCCTAATTAATTAGGATTAGGATCCTATTATGGTTACTGAGTGGACACAGAAGAATGCATTACTTCTTAATCCATCAAAAACTAAGGCTATTTTGTTTGGAAGGAATATAGAGTCGAGAAATTTGAGGTGTCTGCAGGTGTTGGGGCATAATATTGAATGGGAGAGGGAAGTTAAGAGTCTAGGTCTGTTGCTAGATCCTGCTTTATCCTTTTACAGGGCATGTTAGTGCAATTTGTCACAACACATGTTTTGCTTTAAAGAAGTTGTATGAATTTAAACATCTTCTTCCTACTAATACCAAAATCATGCTAATAGAGTTGCTAGTCTTGGTACACTGCTATTATGCAGATTGTGTTTATGGACCCTTTATAACAGAACATAACAGATATAGACTACAAAAGATTCAGAACAATTTTGTACGATATATATTGAACATAAATAGACGAGAACATGTTACTCCTTACATTACTAACAGTGAAATGTTCAAGATAAAAGAAATAAGATTTTTACATTTTGCTGTTTTGATACAAAATATTATTTAGAACAATTGCTCAGAATATCTCTCCGAACTATTGGTGATGAGGCTTGGTGACATTCATACCAGGTCAACAACTAACAAGGAACATAGATACTTTCGAAAAGCCATTATCACATCGTACTGATTTTTTTCAATCTTCTTTCTCTTACTTGGGCCTACATGTGTACATGATACCAAAAGGAAATACAAAAAATAGGGCCTATATGCAAGAATTAACAAGCAAATTAATAAAATACAGAAAGTTTGAAACATAAAAAACTAATAATATTACATATATCTATACTATGTACCAAGTAAAGGCATTACTTTTAAACATTATGTGAATGCAAATCTGTCCAGAGTAAGTAACACCCGATAAGGAAACTCTCCGTTGCGATATCGGGTGTTACATTCAAATTTGCGAAGGTGAGCCAAATGGGTGTTACTTACCTCCATGCTTCCGGGGCGGGCATCAATGGAGCGAAAGGCGTGGAATTTATTTTTTGAATTTGTTTTTAGTTTTCGTGAAACAACATACATATTATTGAATAATAACTACGATTTTTGTGTCATATGAATCTTGCATCAATTTTTTTTATTGCTGATTTCGTTTGTCAATGAAAAATACTTCAACACGAGTTTTTCCTTTTTCTTGTTAGACATAAATTGACGGAGATCCAACGCTTTGAAATGTGCTTATTTTTGATATCCTATGACGTCACTACATGCTGAGTATATCTATATATACAAAACTTAATCTTTGTATAGCTTTCGGAATATTCATATTTGGGCAAAATAAAAAAATACTTCTAGATTTTTTTTCCGATTTCCTACAGTTTGCAATAAACAGTTATCAATTTAATTTTTCATGCAAGGTGCACTCAGTACAGCATTTTAATCCCTGAGTCGCACAAATGCATCTGCTGATATTGCAGATTTTGTCGGAAAAGCGAATGCATAAAATTTTTAGTAAATTACCTGGCACAGGGTCTTGCTTGGGTTGATAAAACAGGCACCCATAAATTTTCCTCTAATATCCAACCGTACCTACTGGGTTCTTCAAAATAATTTTCCACTTAATGGCTGGAGTACCAAATTTTTAATTGATATACATAAACACCTAAAATATAACTTTCTGCTGCCGTGCGGTTAGTTGTTGACGTGAAAAAAACACCGCATTTCATTAAGATTAATATTGTCCTTATTTTTATTTTTATATAAAGTATACACATATCTGTATCTGATACTCAGTTCGATGGCTTCTTCTTCGCTTAAATTAGGAAGATTTCCTATTTCTGCTAGTAGATTAATATTCCTTGACAACATATCAAAAGCTGCCCTCTTTCCTATTTTATAAAACGCGCTGGTAGTATCCACAGCCTGTTAAACAATGAATAATTGCTAGAAGATTTTTACAAATGAGGGGCCCCAATTTCGTTGCAATATCATGTATGGCAATATAACGTTTATTTTTACTCTATCCTAATTGTATATATCGGGTCTTCAAAAAAAGAGCCAATGAGCTTCAATGTCAAAACGTCATGTCAAAAATCCTGACCAATAAAGAAACAATAATGCGACGTATGTTTTCGTAATCTAAATAATCTTTGATTGTTTTTTACATACGATACAAACAAGATTCCGACAATTTTCAGTGGTACTGTAGTAATATAGAAATAATAGAAAAACGTCTGTGTCCACGGATTTCAGAATGATTCAAATACTTTACTCAACCTCTGCTAAAACGTGAAGAATTATCCGGTGTCGGCTTCCTGTTGATTGCTGTTTAACGACGATACATTTTTTGGGTAATCGGATCTTTTTTTTTGTAGTTAAAAACAACGCCTTTTTTGGATTTTAAAATCCTCCAACTATAATAAATGTTTTATCGTCTTTTAATAATATCTATTGAGCTGTGCTGTACGAAGTATTTGGTTAAAAAATTTAACAAGGAGGTTTTATTGGTGGAAGATTTGAGAAAAATCTCAAATTTAGGTAGGTACCTACTTTCCTTGATCCAGAAACTTAGAATTCCGGTGTGTCTGAATTTCCACGTTTACATCTTTCGGTGTTCCTAAGCGAATTAGTATCATATATGTATCAAATTTGAAAATTTTTTGAACTGTATTTTTTTCCTTCTTTCAAAATTTTACCAAGAAATATTCGTCCAAAGTCATTGAATGTTTTGATCGAAGATAAATTTATTTCTCGAGTTAAAACCATTCCATCAATAACATGGGAGTTGACATTGGTGGTGATAATAAACCGAAAAATCGTAGTTATTATTCAATAATATGTATGTTGTTCCACGAAAACTAAAAACAAATTCAAAAAATAAATTCCACGCCTTTCGCTCCATTGATGCCCGCCCCGGAACGCAGTCGCCCTTGATTTTCGAGTCAACTGGCCGGCCGGCCGCGTCACTTCTGAAATTTCAAATTCAAATATCTCAAAAAGTACCTATAACACATAACTGACTCATTTTTTTTTTTAAACTTCTATATACTTTTTACTTCAATTCACTTGCAGGATATATGGTAAAATTTTCAAAAATAAAAAAGTTTTTCGATTGCTGAAAAAAGCAATGCAGAAAAGATGATTGTCAATATTACTATTTATTTTTAAAAAAAATAGAGGTCACAATGAATACTTGTCATACACTGTTATAACCGCTAAAGTGTCCTCTTTTCAACAAAAAAAATCATTTCCATAGTTTGAATACTTTTGAAGATATCGCGAGTTATATGTCAAAAAGTAAGTTTTCATAATTTTTGTCCTTTTTCATACATTTTTTGCTATAAAATGAGTCAGCCCCAACTGAGGATGTCGTGAATTTGCATTTCAGATGGCCAGTAAAATTCTGAATAATGCTACATAAGTCTCGTTTGGTTCTACATTGAAAAAAAAAAAGTCCAGAAAGAAGCGTCTTTCGCCGGCGTTTTTACTCCGCTAATATGTCTGTATGAATATAAATGCTTGTTTGCGGCGCGTTTTTCTGTAGTTGCAAGACTCTATAGACCTAATAAATAATTATAACTTAACATAAGTTTGACACACAGCCCATTGATTTTTGCTCAATTAAAAGATATGATTAGCTTTAAAGAATATCTGCAGGTAAGTTGGAGAAAATTCACATTGAAAAAAAAATGATATTCGTTAAAGTGTCAAGCTATAGCAAAACATTAAGAAATGGTAGTAATAGAATTAGTTTGAGATTCAGTGGACTCGACATATTCTGAAATTTTCTTCTTTTTTTTACTATTTACTACAAGTACTGCTAGTGACCCCAGTACTAAAGCTCCACCGCATACATAAGTCAAAACGTTTCTATAATATTCCACATTTTCATCATTATGAATATCTTGAATTACTTCAACAGCAATACCATTTGATAATTTATCAGCAAAACTCATTATTCCATAAATAAAAGCACCACGATTTGTTTTCGAACCAATCAAAACTGTTGTAATATCTAAACTTGTAATCAACACTATCGAACTTGCTGAACCCAAAAGGACAGAAACTACAAAAATAAAATATGTTCTAAAGTCATCTCCTTGTCCAAAATTCACCCAGAGGCAGCCTAATAATCCTAAAATAGCTCCTAAAATATACGTTATTTTACTGCCAGCTATTTTTGTTATTGGTCCTACCGGAAACGAAGCTATAAAACTGGCAATGTACATTGCTAGAGGTACTAGAGCTATGGAGCTAGCGTTCATATCAAGACTTTCTGTCAAATACAAGCTTATAAATACCTGAGTTAGATTAATAAATAATCTTGACGACATATAAACAGCGCCAACTAAATAGAGGTTAATGTTTAAAAATAAGTCGCTTAAGCTTAAATTTGGAGAATCATGTTCTTGATTACCCTCCTTTCTAACTTCTGGTTCTTTTATGAAAATGTAAAAAATTATAGAACAAACTATTCCAAACGACATAACTGACCATACAATATGCTGAAACTTTTCTGTGTAATCTGGTCCTACTTTATTTTTGGAACCACCTGAGATGTCTAAAATACTCCATGCTAACAGATATACCAGAACGCTTGCTACAACAGTGGCACCATTACGTACCGATGCTAATTTAGTGCGTTGATGTTTATTTGAAGTAATTTCAGGAATCAATGACATGTGAGCAATTTGAACAGAGGCCCATCCAAATTGAAACAAGGTTATAAAAAATGAATAGTAAATCATTTGATAGATTTTTAAAGATTGAGAACAACCAATACAAGGAGAAAAAATAAAAGGAAAAGTGAAAATCACTAAAAATGTTCCCATAAAGTACCATATCTTCCTTTTGCCAAATTTATAAATCCACCAGTCATGGTCTTTGTCAGAGTTGTAACCAACAAATGGTGTAGCTATTGCGTCAGCTACTTGACCGACTAGAAGGAGGATGCCTGCTTGGCCATTGTCAAAACCTAGAACCTGCAAATAAGTTGAATTACAATTTCAATAAACTTTTTCTGGGGGAAAAAGACATACCATGTGAAAGTAGACTAAAAGGTAACTAAACCACATAGCAGCGCATACATCATTGAGTATATGCCCTAATCCATAGGCGATATAAATTTTTAGAGGTAGTTTTTTGCTAATGTTGAAGCTGATGTCCTCTTGATTTTTTGCTTCCATTTCAATTTCTTATTTATTTCCTTTTTCAAATAATAAGTAGATTTTTTTTTGTGTTTTATTTTTTTTTCTAAGATCGACAGGTACAACAAATACAGCAATGGCAGATGATTATGACCAAAGAAGAGTTACAGCTGTATTTCATTTGCATTTCCTGGCTAGACATAGGGGATCCTGAAACAACAACAAAAATTGTAGATTTTTCTTGAGATGTTCAATAAGAATTTTGTCAAATTTATGGTTTTAGAACCGAATATGTTGAACTAACCAATTACATTTTATTTATGGTATTGGAAAGTTATGCGCTTTAATTAGAAACTATGCAGTTAGCAATTATTAAACGAACATTCAATAATTATCATTTATAAATCATCATTTTGGGAAGCGTGACGATAACTAATTTGAACTGTTATTTGTTCAGTTTTCACACCTACATCATAATTAAAAATTTTGTTACTTTGCGGCTTGGATGTTGGATGTCTAGTCGACAATTATACAAAAGTTAACATCCGTTAACCGTCCGTTTATTTTTCTTACCATAGATTCTATAAATTCAGATTAAACTTTACAACTTTCGCATCGACACCCTTCTTCTACCCTTCGAGGTAAACGCTGCAGGTGGGTTGTCAATGTATGGGTGAACACCGTACAAAGGAAATAACAACAAACGTCAAGCGCGTCATCTAAGTCACGCTATTACACTGGGAAACAGGACCAGCATCACAAGGCGAATAAAACTGGCGCGGATAACTTTCGGCAACTACCTAATAATAAGAATACTGACAATAAAAATAAAATGAGTCGTCTTTTTTTCGAAATAGTGTTACAAAATACTACAAAATTAAAAAATGGTAAAAGAGTTTAATAAAATACAAGAATACAAGAACATAGGATTTTGAAGATGGCATTTGATATAACGGAAATTTATACAAGGAAACTTCAAAGATGCATAAAAAGTTACATGTTTGTATAACTATTCAAGTTATGAGGTTAAAGCACAGATGTTGAAGAGTACGTAACAATTTTGAATTACCTATGTAGAATTCCAACATCGTATAAATAGGTGATTAAAATTCGAATTGACGAAAATCTCGCCAGAAACTGCGCTTTGATCATATCATATTTTGTTTGAACGTTCTATTAACCTTAAATTTTTTGATTTACCTTTTATTAAAATATGGTCTATTTTCAAACGTCATATAACAGCTATTTTTTTTTTTATCATTTTGACAAGGTACCTATAAGAGTCACTCCAATGAATTTCAACTTGAGCGGCGTATAAATGTTATACTCCGGCGAAGTATAACATTTAAACGCCGTTATACCTACATGTTTTCCAATAGTGATTTAAGGTAGTTTTCCTGTACATATAGGTATAGGTGCTTATGGAGGTGATCCTTTTAAATATGAATGTCATATTTTAAATTAAAAAATGTGCTCTATTTAGGAAAAAGATCGTTTGAAAATAAATTATTGTATTTCATTCGGAATATAAGTAGGTATTCTTTATGTGAATTGCATGGATTTGATTCGCCTCGCCGCGCTCGGCATTCACTTCCATGCGCGTCACATAAGTATTACTTATACTCCTAGTGAGAATAGAAATTGAAATATCTGAGCACATGTCGGCGGTGAAAATTTGATCTGCCATGTGTTTTTTTTTTGATATAAAGAATTTCCCACTTATCCGTCAGTTGTTCTATGCTTACCCCAGAGTTGGCTAGCACCATTACGTACCGATGTTAATTTAGTGCGTTGATGTTAATTTGGAGTAATTTCAGGAATCAATGGCCTGAGCAATTTGAACAGCATCCCATCCGAAATGGAACAGAGTGATCAAAAAATGAACAGCAAATCATTTGATAGATTTTTTGAAGCATCAGAGCAACTAATACAATGACAAAAAAAAAACGAGAAAATCACCAAAAATGTTCCAATAAAGTAAACATATATTCACAGCTGTGAGACGTATACCTGAAAATATTGCTTGAAAAGCCATGTTCGCCTTTGTGGAGAAAATTTTATTGTATTTAGGTATTCAAAAACTAGCTCTTCCCCGCGGTTTCACGAGCCATTAAATTTAAAAGAATTCGGACTATCTATAAATAATTTAGAGTAGGTACTTCATAAGTCAATATATCTAAAAACAACGTAGATAAGCTCAAACAAATTTCGTTGTTCTGTTTGGGCGGCCGACCTTAGATTTTAGTAGGTACATTAATCAAGATTTTAGAACGAAATTTTCCTAGATGTCGTTTGCAATTTTTCGCTTTGCCTATAGTCACTCAATAAACCTTCACAGACAGTGGCGACAATAGAGGTCTCGCCGCCATATTATTCCTAATTTTAAATAGGAATCCAGAAGTTAGCAGTAAACCACGCCTCTGCCGCCATATTCTTCCTCATTTTTATTATGAATATATAGGATTTTAAAGAACCAATCAGAAATAGGACGGCAATTATCGCCACTGTGGTCTCTTCAATTCTGTCTAGGTCCCGGTGGTCTTCTTCTCCAGACCTATGTATTCTTGCTGAAAAGGGAGTGTATCATTACGCTCCCCATTGTGCTACGGATGCTGATTTTCGCTGTTTCCGTCGGCTGGATAATTTTACTTTCAATCAGGTCGGCATAAGATTTCCCAGAACAAATCCCCTTCCAGTTCACTGTCATTGTCCTTGTTCTTGAATCTAATTCGAACACCATGCGATCTCGGGCATTGCTGGAGACAAGAGTCTGGGAAACAGACAGACGGAGCTCCGTAATTGGTGATAAGTGCTAGTTTTTGTATGTATTTTAAACGAAACCAAGCAATTGGAAACTAACCCAAACTAACCTGTCCTCTTAAGAGGGGCGTTTAAATAAAATGTCATTTACAGACCTTCACTAATTCCTGTTCAATTCCAAATTTAGACCACTTTTCAGTGAAATGAAGTTATGTTCATAACAATAATAGATTGGAATAGAAGTTCAAGCATTTTTGATTGCAAAATACGCATTCTAAATAGTAAAATTATTACCATTTTGTTGACAATATGCAAATTTTGGTCACGGATTTAAATGAAAAAGGGATAAACATATAGAGTAGCACACCAACAATATAATATGTCGAAAATTTCGGATAGTAAAATACTGGAATAAATGAAAAGAACAGAATTTACGAAAATTATAATGTATTTATAACAAAATTTATCAAAATTTGCCAAATAAGGACTGACAAGGAGCTTATTGCTGTCATTTACAGCAGAGACTCAAACCAAACGTATGTTCAGCGCTTCTCTAAAAGATGTCGCTGAGTTCGGGAAGGATAGTAACTTCTTTTAAACGCCAGTAAAAACTGTTTCACCTAGCTAAACATGTGAAATACTATTATTTTATTTGTATCTGAATAAAATTATTGGGTCCATAACACTTTAGTGCCACAAAAACCAAGAATTTTTCAATAAAAATTAGAACATTTTGCATGCCCTAGAGATTGGCTCCTTACAAAAAAGTGCGGATTTTTTAATTTTTTTGTTGAAAACTAACTAAACCAAACAGCTGGGCACGTGCTCGTAATAAGTGCTATTATCTCGGCTATTATACCTAGTCTTTGTATGTTGGCATTTTAAACGAAACAGAGCAAATCCAAACTAACCGAAACTAACCCGTCCTCATGATCTAAGTACTAGTTAAGTAAAGGTCCTTTAAAAAAATTATATGCTTCTTCTCTATAGATAGTTTAGTTTCATCCCAAAATATTGCTTTATGATCAAAAATAACTATAAATTGGATTTTATAAATATTTAATGAATCCTCTTCTCGACCTTTGACACAGATCAATATATAATATCTATTCTTATCAGCTTTATATCACAATCGCTCTGGTTAGCAGATAAAAATTTAATAAACAAGAAAAGCATCATGTGGTAGATATTCGAACGGAGAGGAGAGCTAAGTGTTCAAACATTATTGGTTCAAACCATTTTTCGAAAAAAACATTATTGAATTGAGTATTGATAAAACGTATAATACCTATTGAACTATTGAAATTTGTACACTTTAACCGACAGTAACTGATGTGCTGTATCGAAACTGATCAAAAATATGCAAACTAACCGAAACTAACCCGTCCTTGTACTGCGTCTTTACATCTTTGAAATTTACTAAACTAGTCCTTACACGTACTTAGGCCCAGTTTCACAATCGGTGGTAACCAGCGCTGGTCAGTCAACTAGGGGTCAGCGGTTAACTGGGACTTCCCTCATTCACCTGTTTCACATTAAACAAACAATCGTTGGTTAAATGACTAGTGGTTGAATTTTATTTCTCAAAAGTTGGTACTTCATTTTTTGATCATGAAACAATATTTTGAGATAAACCTTAACTGTCTATAAAGAAAAAGCATGATATTTTTGTGAAACAATTACCGAAAAAAATGTATTGCCTGCAACGAGAATCGAACCCGGGTCCATTTGCTTCAGAAACCGTGCGTATCCCATATCTTAACAGCCGCAATGAAAAATAGTACAAACTAAAAGGCCCATTTTTTTGACAAAGTTCAAAATCCGCAATTTTATTTAAGAAATCGTTGAATACTTTTCTACTCAAACGAATTATGTGTCTATCAAGCCTCAATGAGTGTGGCACTAAAGTGATATGGCACCAAATTATTTAGTCCACTGTAAATTACTGCGTAAACCAATTGATATTGAAGATGTCGCCATCTACTTGTAAATAAGTCAATGACTTACAGAGAATTTGAACACCTGTGATTAAAAAATATTTAATGTATGTCATAAAGCCCAAAAGATGGCGCGCTGGCTCTTATCTGACGCCCCTCTTAATAATCTTTAGAACAAAAATAAAAACCCTAAGAAAAAAAACCTAAAAAAAAAATATATATAAAGTCTGTTTTTTTTTTTTAAGATAATTCCCCAAGTCAAAAATTTAGTGACTATGTTGGCAACACAAGCCTTTTCTACATAAAAAAATTGAAAGCATTGACAATTTCACATTGTATTGCCAACATAATGTCAGTTTGACTTTTATCTTAAAAAAAAAAAACAGATTTTATATATATATTGCCTTCAACGAGAATCGAACCCGCGTCCCTTTGCACCAAAAACCAATTCAACTCAACTCAAAAATCTTTATTTCAATAATTGCATTCGATACATTTATATGCAGGGGGGCT